GTTCTTTTTTTAATCTGATGTGATGAGATTTGGTACAAAAAAGATCTCACAAAATCTGGAGAAAAAAAAAGGATTACAAATACATTTAAAAAATCCTATATAAAGCTATCATCCGTTTTTCACACTTGCTTCTTCACTTCTCCTCCCAAATCATCCTGTAAAACACAGAGACAGGCGTGCTTAATAAATTAAAATAACAATGCGACCAGTGTTTGACAGGCTCCACGCGGTTACAAGGGTGAACACGCCTTTTTTGAAATTAAAAGCAGTTCTAATTGTTGATACCGATTATGAATTGGAGACAAGGAACTTATTTGCTATCATGTTTGAAGATCAAGAGGTAATTTTTTCGATCCTATATGTATAAATTACACTCTTACGAATTTAATTAATTTACTTTTAACCGTCTCTATTAAATATTGATAGCAAAACAATTTTTTGATTATCTTTCCTTTTAACCGTCTCTATTAAATATTGATTATTTTTAGAGAGAGACAAATATTTTTGTTTCAAAATCAACTTGAGTCATTATCTTTCCTATATATATCCAATATAATCGTTCGGAATATTTTTTCTTCTACGTGAAATACGGTGAAGGTACCAAACCTATGCATTTGTTATAGAATACACCAAATCTATTATTCACTTCATATTTAGTTTTTTTAAACCGTCTACAATCCTGTTCATAAAAACATTTGCAGTATGAAGCATCTCAAAGGAGAACAATCGACAGATACCAACAACATAGATTCAAACAACATCAGAAAGGGAAGAAGTAGATCAAAAAAACAAGATAATATTACTCAGATGTTATATTTATGTTCAGTAACATAATTTTGTGGATTTACCTTTGATTTTGGTGGCAACATGTTTCACATCGAAGCTGTTAAAATGTTATCCAATGTACTCCCATTGCATCATCATATACTCGCATAGAAAATATAAAGAACGTGATTAGACAACATACCGTGTATGATTAATTTGAGCTTCTTATTGTTTTATGTAACAACTATGCATATCATCAATCTAATTGAACTTTTTAATTTTTTTTAATTACAGAAAATACAAAATCCGAGGTTAAATGGCAGGCACATTGCAGCATGATGGATAATAATGGAAGACAATTGCAAGAAGTTAACAAACGAAAGCCTACAGCCATAAAACATGGAATAATTGAATCAAATACGCAAGGTGACAATGCAAAGCAATCTTATTTATCATAACTGCAAATTCTATGTTGTATCATTTTATTGTGTACCTTATTTCAATATCCCTACAGTGTATACAAATTAGTGATAATTCACATGTATTGGAAGTGTGTTCTGCTCATTTGTTTTCCAAGTATGTAAACTAATTGAATTTGTCGCATAATCAAATCGATTTCAAATATATTATATCACATTACAAGTCATACTGATTGACATTAAAAGGAAAAATACAATTACAACAAACAGTTTTGTGTGTGTGGTTTCTGTAACTTAAGAGCAATATACAACACAACATATATTAGTACCTTTTTTTCCAATATGCGCAGAATCTTATATACATGTCTTCTATTCATTCTTCACTCTTCGATCTGCATTTCAACACGCAACTTTTCGATTTAGGGAAAGTATAAACAGAAACAGATATAGAAGATTAAAATGACTTCTAAGCTCAGATTTTACCTAATAGACGAATTAAAACAAAAACACTCTTTTAAAATTCGAATTATACACTTTAAAAAACATATAACATGTTTAAACTTTATTTCAATATGAATCATATGAGATCCCCTATTAGGCTATTTTTTAGTCTCTTATATCAATACATATATATTGTTTGAAAAAGATTGAACAGCAGATTAGCAAAATGTATGCAGGCTTCTGAATTGGTTTTCAAAATAATAAAAAAAAGTTTCATAAACATTTGTTCAAAATTATTAGGGCTTGATTGTATATGAGTTAATTTACTCACTTTTATTTCAACTCAAAATTTAACTCAACTTTAACTCAACTCCTCTATCTTTAATATTATTCATATAATTAAATAATACAAACCAATCATTCTTACACATCACATCAACTTTAATTCACTATTCATCCACTCACATAATTTTAACTACTTATCATTTCAAATCATTTATCTCTTACTTTTACATCAAATCAATTTTAATTATTTTATTTTATATATTATTTTAATAAATACTTAAAATTCCACTAACAACTAACTATACCACCTTTTTAACATTATTTTGCTTGGATTAAACATAAACAACGAGATGATTTCTCAGAAAAAAAAAAGAAACGGTGTAGATAAGAGAGGAGAGAAAAGCGGCGACGAAGAAATGGTAAAAACCCTACTTTTTCAGATTTCTGGGCTATTTATATTTACCATCTAATACTTGCAGCCTTAGATCGTATTGATTAAATAGGACCTTTAGATCATATCATTAATCGAATTTGGGTCGTTTTTAGATATGATACAAGCCCGATTATTCATACCATCATAAGACTTAATGTTTAAAATTGGGCTTCAATTTATTAGTCCAAACAATAAAAATAAATGTCCATTTATCTGGTATGTTTAGTTTATAATCTATTTACTAATCCTCAAAATATCAACATTATTAAGTTATTTGTTTGTTTTTATATATTAATAAAATAATTACCTTTAATTGACAATCATTTTTTTAATTGTAGTTTAGTATTTTATTTAATTTTAGTAATTTATTTACATATCAAATATTTATAAAATTCCGAAGGATTGTGGTTCACAAAGTTAAAAATAACCATTTATATCCCAAAGTTGACTTTTTCTTCATGTTTACAGGTTCTATGAGGTCACCCATTGTCATAGGGTCATCTTTTATTGCTCAAGAAAACAATAATTATCATAGTTTGTTACATGGTTCTCAAAACTCACCATTATCTGATGTGACTAATGGTATTATGTTATTCAATTCATACTTTGATTGCATAATATAAAAATGTTTATTTTATCTTTGTGCATCTAAAAAATATATTAAATTTTTATGTTTAATTTAGTGCTTGGAAATGGTCGTTCTTCCACAACAGTGGTTAAGAATAAATACGATACTAAAAAAGATGACATAAATTTTATCTTTATATTTTAGTTCGTTTTTTTTTTAGTATCTTACATTACAAATAGTTAATTAATTTATTATTCATTAAATATTGATATAAACAGGTTCTACGACATCACTACTGAGCCATGTATCATCTTTGATTCCTCAGCAGATCTCAAGTAATCTGGGTTATACGTCTTATAAGTATCAGAGTGTGTTGCATAGTCCTCATATGACGCCATTATCTGGTGTCACACATGGTATGTTGCGTTGAACGTATTTAAATGTACTTTAAACTTTTCTTTTATATGATTTGATAATTTTTTTTTCTTATCATTTGTTTAATGTAGAGTTAAACCTCGGTTCTTCTTCTACCCCAAAGCATCAAAGCGCACATAATGTTAAAAACAGTAAGCAATTCATATTTTTAAGTTGACAACTAATAATTATTTATGATCATTATTATATTTTTTAAATTATAATAATATTTCAACACGAGTTTTCTATATTTTCAAATAATTATCATTTTTCTTTCAGGCCGTGCCATAAAACCTAATGACAGTTTGTCAAGAAATACTACGCAAAAAACTGACATAGACCTTTCAAGTGATGACGATGATGATGATCGTTCGGGAGTTATGCATAATATGTCCCCGAAACAATCAAACGCAAGTAAGATTTATATCTTTCAAATGTTCTGGTACGCCAAATCATGAGTGGAATTTGAAGGTGGGAACTCCGGTTATGTTGTTGCGGAACATGGATCATTCTATGGGATTGTGCAACGGGACACGTTTGGTTATAACCAGACTCTCCAAGCATATCCTAGAATGTAGGATACTTACGGGGGACCATGCAGGGGAAAAAAGTGTTGGTACCTCGAATGACGATAACTCCTTCGGATGCACGAATACCTTTTAAGTTTCAACGAAGGCAATTCTCAATCGTGGTCTCTTATGCAATGACTATTAACAAGAGCCAGGGTCAATCGTTTTCCCACGTTGGTTTATTCTTGAAGAAACCAGTTTTCAGTCATGGTCAGTTATATGTTGTTGTTTCGCGCGTCACCAACAGAAAGGGTTTTAAAATTCTAATATGTGGTGAAGATGAGTCGCCTCCGAATCAAACAAATAATGTTGTGTACAAAGAAGTTTTTAATAATATATGATTTAGTTATTTTAATTATGTTTGCATAATTAGATGTTAAATTTAATTAATTACATTTAAATAGGTATTTCAATATGTTTTAAGTTATGCGCCCACCGTGCATCGCACGGGTACCACACTAGTTTAACAAACACATGCATATTTAAATATCTGTAAATATTTCAGATAATAACCAATTAGCTACTTCGAAGAATGTTACCGAGTTAATTGTTGGTCATCATGTTCACGCGACCCGTGATTTGATCAACACGAGTCATGGTCAGTCTTTATTACATGTTAGCATGTTATTTATCAAACATGTGTTCATTCAGTAATAACAAGTTGTATTTGTATATATATATGTTTCCCGTGTCACTATTATAATTAGATTGAAAATATAGATTTGAAGGGAGGATGGTGTGCTTACAAATCAAAAAATATTATCTACAAAAAGGCTTTTAATAATATATACAATTTTTTTATTCTATTTATTTAATTTTTATTATTTACGAAAATAATAATAAGATTCGATAACAATTTTAAAATTGTCCAAATCGATGCATCGCACGCACTATGCACTAATTTGCTAAGTGCTTAATTAACACCGAATACGGCGACGTAACGTGGACTGATATAGTGAAGAAAGGAAAGTGAACAAAAAAACTCAAAAAGAGGAACTGAAGTTCGCAAAACCCCAACTCAAAAATTCAATCAATTCGATTGGTGAAAATCAAGAAAAACAAACACTTCACTGACAATCTTTAGACTGCCGGCTCCTGATCGGTCGATGGCGAGCCCCGCATCTCGCTTGGAGATTATCGCGGCGAGTCCGAGGAGTGCAGCAGCTGTTGCGCCGTCACCAAATTCGGGTTCTGCTAGGGTTTTGAAAACTCCTTTAACCGATGAAGCCATGTGGAAGCGGCTCCGAGAAGCTGGGTTTGACGAAGACTCCATTAAACGCAGAGATAAAGCTTCGCTTATCGCGTATATTGCGAAACTAGAAGCCGAGGTGTCAATATATGGATACTCTATTTAGATTCTGATTTTATTGATTCTGATTTTTTTTTATTTTTTTTTTTCTGGTCATGCTGTGCCTACATATTTATTATATATATTGGTGTTGTGTTCGTAATAATCTTGGTGGTTTGCGGTTTGGGTTTTTGATTTATCAGGGTGATCTTTCTTAAGAAGTAAGAATTTGATGAAAGAGTTGTATACGTTAACATTTTTTAATTGGAAATTGGTGTTTCATTCGAAAATCTAACGAGCGGGAACTATTTCATTAATTGGTTACTACATTGGTGGCGATTTTATAAATGGTGGTTTTTTTTTCTCCATAACTATGGTTGCCTATTAATGAACATGTTGGATTCCGTTAGTTTTATTACGCGGCTATATGATCTTGGGGAGGTACCATTTGTTTGTTTATTGCTTGTATTTCTAGTTCTGATATTCCATGTTGCTTTTATCAGATATACGAGCACCAGCACCAAATGGGTCTTCTCATCATGGAAAACAAGGAGTGGCTGTCAAAGTATGCAGATGCTAAAGCTGCAGCTGACTCTGCTGAGTTAAATTTGAAGTGTGCTCGGGCTTCTCACGCCTCAGACTTGGCTGAAGCCAGAAAACTAGAAGACAGACTCAAGAAAGCTTTAGGCATCGAGAAAGAATGTGTTAAGAATGTATTGTTCTACGAATGTGTGCTCTCGATGTTTACATACGTATAGGTCATTGGTGTATGTTTCTTAATTTGAATTTTTGTGTAGATTGAGAAGTCGTTGCATGAGATGCGTGCTGAATATGCAGAGGTAAAGGTGGCTTCTGAAACAAAATTTGCCGAGGCAAGAAGCATGGTGGATGATGCAATTGAGAAACTGACAGCGGCTGATGAGAAATCGCGTGCAGCAGAACTTCTGGAAGCTGAGGCTAAAAGATACCATCGAACTGCCGAAAGAAAGTTGCATGAAGTTGAAGAACGTGAAGATGACTTAAGGAGACGTATTTTGTCATCAAAGTCCGAGTAAGTTCTTTAGTTGATTGTTTTACTTTTTGCTGTATTCAGAAACATGCTCTCCTTATTCTTCGTTTCTTTATAAGGTACCTACGAGATTTCTATCTCCACATACATGCTGTAGACTTCTTTAAGCAGTTAAATGCATGAAATTGGACTCTGTTGAGTTTTGGATGCAATTTTGTTTAGTTTATTTGTAACCGTGGATGTGCTGTTTCTAGGGACAGTATCTAATTCCATCGTGGGAATCAGAGGTGGACCTAGGCAGGGGCCCCTGCAGAAACAAAAAAATAGTTTTATAAAGTTTATATTACACAAAATAAACATGTTTAAGTTATTATTAAGAAGATTATTTAGTAATCAATTTCTATTCTCTAAATTTACGTAAGTGTAATTGTCCCTTAATTAAAAAAAAAAAAAAGTTGCAACTCTATATAAAAACGAAAATATAACATCCTTTCACAATCCCATCTTTGATACGATTACTTATTTCTACTCACTTGGTTGTATCTATTAATAATCTAATACTTTGTGTGCCCCTTTTTATTTAAAAATTTAAAAATTATGTGATCTTTAATTTTAGATCTTTCATAAGTTAGATGTAAAAGTCAACCTAATTAAGATTTCAAAACTCGTGTTATTTATTTTGGTACATATTGTATTTGAGGTTTCCTTAAAGTTATAGTTATAATTTTTAAAGTAGCTATTAATTATATTTGTCATTGATTTTCTCATCTAATATGTTTTTTGATCCTTTATGGAGAAATATTATAAATAGAAGTCCACGAATGCTGACGTTAAAAGAAACATCCAATGCAAAAGAAAAAGAAAAAAATTTTTGTTGATGTTTGAGAAAGATTTATTTAATAAGATTAGAAATAATGTAATTATGAATGATACACTGCATGAGAACATGCAAAAAACGATTTTATTAAAGTTACTTTTGTGCCCCCCTAGTCTTGTGAGTCTGTATCCGCCCCTATTTAGAATGTAGTTATTTTGGTTAGTCATATCATTTTGCTGCCTCTTTATTTGTGTATATTAGAAGATTCATATGTTTCTAATAATTGTATCATTTTGAATCATGTATATTTTATGAATTTGTAATGTTCTGGTCTGTTACTTTGTTAGTTTTGAAGCTAAAGAGAAAGAGATTGAACTTGAGAGGCAATCATTATCTGAGAAGCAAAAAGTTCTACAGCATACTCATGAAAAGTTACTCGATGGTCAAGCTTTGTTGAACCAGAGGGAAGAGTATATTTTTAGCAAAACTCAAGAATTGAAGAAATTTGAGAAGGAGTTGGGCGATTTAAGGCTGCAAATTGATAAAGAACGTACAGCCTTAAATGAAGAGAAAGTGGCTCTGGAGCTAAAAGCAAGTTCTTTAACAGCAAGAGAGGAGGTTGACTGATTTCATTCCATTTTCATTTTGCACGTGAATGCGTTGATAATTTTCAGCATTAGGTCGAGACTAAATCTATCATTTACCTTTAAAGTATTTAATAGACGGTTATTCTAACAGTACACTGTTTATTCTTTTAGGCTGTTATGAAAAGAGAATATGATCTTTTCAGGAAGGAGGAAGAGGCACTTTTGTTGCAATCTAAAATCTCCACCAGGGAATCTGTAAGCCTTCTGTTCAATAAAAATACAACATAGTGTCTTCTTGAAGTGGTGGTACTGAAATCTGAATGCAAAAACCATTCATCATAGTAGGTCAAGTTTTCTATCTGCAAGTTCTTTCAGTTAGGCATCGACTTTGAACAACTGAATGAAGAAATACTGCAATGACTGAGTATTTTTTCTTTCAAGTGACTTTTAGCACCAACAAATTTAAGATGTAATGTAAGCAATCAAAATTTATCGATTAGTACATTATTGCATCACATGCTATAATTATATATCTCATCCATATATTGTGTGACTGTCCGTTGTTATTGTTTATTTCTGTTTCTGCTTAAAATTGATCATTTGATATAATTTTTGATTTGTTGTGGGATAAAATTTGTATGAAGCATATCTCATGTAATATTGTAATTATTGTTTTGTTTTTATTGATCTTACATGTTACTTGTATGGCTAGACTAATTTTATGTGAATGTGTTGTTAATGGGTTTCATATTTCAGGAATACTACTTTGTGCTTGCATTCAAGCACAATTAGCTTAATCATTCTAATATTTTAGTTAATTGCTGCTACGAAAAGACATATCCTGTTGTCTTGGTTAGTTTATGCTCTTATGAAATCCATGTGTGTGGGTGTTCATTCAGGACAAGGTTCAACAAGCATTATCTAATCACGAAGCAGCTTTAGCCTTGAAGAACTCTATTTTCGAGGCTGAAGCAGAGAAGAAGCGCAAATTGCTGGATGATGAGATTGATGCCAAGAGGCGGGCTTGGGAGTTGAGGGAATTAGACATCAAGCAACAGGAGGAGCTCATCTCAGAAAAAGAACGTGAATTGGATGTCAAATTGAGACGCATTGAAGAAAACGAGAAGGAGATGGTCGAAAGGTTAAGTTCAATTGAAGAGAGAGAAAATAAACAATTGGCTGCTGAGGAAGTGTTGGAATTAGAGAAGAACTCTCTCATCAAAGAGAAAGATGAGCTAAGGCAGAAGCAGCTCGGCCTAGATAAGTTATCTAAACTGCTGAAAGAGAAAGAACAGCATATTATTGATGCAGAAGAGAAAACAGTTGCGCTGAGGAGAGAAACAGATGAACTAGTGGCGCTTGAGTTGCGACTTAAAGAAGAGATTGACGTTATTAGCTCACAAAAGCATGAACTTGAGGCTGAGGCAGACCACCTCAAAACTGAGAAGGCGAAGTTCGAAGCTGAGTGGGAACTAGTTGATGTTAAAAGAGAAGAACTTGCTAAAGAAGAAGAGCGTATTGCTGAGGAGAGGCTGGCCTTTTCTAAGTTTTTGAATGATGAGCGTGAGAGTTTAAGAGCAGAGAAGGAAGCATTGAGGGAGCAATACAAATACAAACTCGCATCACTTGTCCGTGATCGAGAGGCATTCATGAGTGAGCTCGAAAAAGAACGTGCAGACGGGTTCAGTAAGATTCAAAAAGAACACGCAGAGTTCTTACTGGATATCGAGCTGCAAAAAAAGGAAGTGGATTACTGTATCAAGAATAGGCGTGAGGAGATTGAGAATTACTTGAAGGAAAAAGAGAAGGAATTCGAAGGGCAGAAAAGTAAAGAACTCGAGCATATTAGTTCACTCAAAGAAAGAGTTGGAAAGGAACTGGAGCATATAAATTCTGAGATGGAGAGACTTGATGCCGAAAGAAGAGATATAAACCTGGATCGTGAAAGGAGGGACCAAGAATGGGCTGAGCTTAATAATTTAATTGAAGAACTTAAAGTGCAGAGGGAGAAGTTGGAGAAACAAAGGGAATTGCTGCGGGCTGATCGAGAGGAGATTCTTGCTCAGATCGAAACCTTGAAAAAATTGGAGGATCTAAAAGAAAGATTGGACTCTATTGCTGTACATGAGATGCACCAATCCAACTTGCAGTCAAACAAGCAAAAATTATCGACTGGAAGAGTTGCGAGTAAAGAAGAAATAGATCCAACTGATCAAAATGGAAATAGTAATAATGGATTCGGGCTTAATAAAGCATCTGGTTTAAAAGAGTCTGATAAGTCGTCTTCTCCTCTTTCGGTTCCTTTATCGTGGCTCAAACGATGTGCCGATACGCTTCTTGAGCAGAGGCCAAGCAACAAAAAAAGGAGGGAAGAAAAACACATAGCAAATGGGTCAGGGGATACCACCCCATGGTACGATCTTGCCTAAGCAACTGAAGTTGGTCTCGTAGTCTGTTGTTTAATGGAAATGCCGTACAATCCATTTTGTGCAAGTTCATCTCTTACGTTCGTTTATACGGTACAAGTTCATTTGTTTTTTTCTTTTTTATGCAGTACACCTCAGAATCACTTTCCCGCACCCAATATCGAGCCAGCAGTCACGCATGCTTCAACGGGTGCAGAGACTACTGTATATATTGATAAGATCATCACAGTTCAAGAAGTAACGACGGTTAATGTTGAAAGAGACACTGAGGACAGTAAGGTACTCTGTTGGCTATGAAATGATGTTTTCTATTTCACTGGTTATATAGGAGATGATTTGTTTCTCATCTCCAACTTGTTACCTAATTATTGGTACAATGCATCATGTGGAAAATGGTTTCTGCCTGGGTGAAAATTATACTTCCTTTCGATGTTTATACCCATCTAAATAAATGTTGATAAGCTCTCTTTATTACTATCAGTTATTTTGGCTATTTTTACGTTACTCTGTCTAATTAGCACTGCTTGCCTATGAACTATAATCTTCATATCATCGGGTAGTTAGGTATAGCTCAACCAAAGCATCAGTTCTATGGAAGAAATTTTACTGTAGATGTTAGAGTACGCATGGTCTTTGATAGCAGAGTATCACTTAAACTACTCCGTGATTATTATCATCACCATTTTAGTTGTATTCAGTGGAATATTGGGTCAACTTATTAACGCATTGTAATATATGGTACTCCGTACTCCATTTGTACCTTTCTGGGAAGCTTAGCGGAGATACTCTTACGTTTTCCGAGATATTCAATAAAAGTTATACTAGATTCTATACTTCATTGACATTTCAGAATGCCATCTCTGATTTACTACAGGAGGTTGCTTTATGGCGTGATGATGAAAATGGTGGGACGGAGTTGGAGATTAATGGCAAGCTTTGAAGGACTCTAGTTTGGCTTTTCTTTTGGTTGACATTTATTTGATCTGGATTGCATATAGTTACAAGTATGAACATCTCTCTCTCTCACTCACTCTCTCTCTCTCTCTCACTCTCTCTCTCTCTCTCTCTCTCTCTCTCTCTCTCTCTCTCTCTCTCTCTCTCTCTCTCTCTCTCTCTCTCTCTCTCTCTCTCTCTCTCTCTCTCTCTCTACACACACACACACACACACTTATTGCATGAGTTTATTCTGGCTAACAATGGTTTCTTATTCCCCAGGTAATGCATAGTGTTTGGAGTTGCAGGCCATGTAGGCTCAACAGTGCTTTATAGATTTTGGAAGATAAGTTTTTTTCTTTTTGGTTGATGCGTGTAATTGACTCTGTCTAATATACTTAGAAGTTTGGTGTAAAGTGCATTATCGTGCGGTTGGTTGCCTTTTTTCTATTACTTTTAGGGGGTGCATATCGACGAATGTTACTTGTAAGACGGATGATGGTCTCCGTCCCTCTCTGATTTGGTATTCTGCGGAAATATACTCCTGGGTCGGAGTTTTTTTTTTTTTTTTT